ATCAAGAAGGAAAGTACTACTGGATTGCTAGGTAACAGCGCTATTTAAAAGCACATTTACTCTATGATGCAGGCAGGGTAAGAAAGGCACCTTGAGTGGTTTTTAGGGTCTATACCACTGATAAAAACTTGGCCAGAGCCATTGCACTGGCCTCTTGGGTGTTCAGATGCAGACCTTTTTAGTACTCCCATGGCTGTGTTAATGGTGCAGCTTCATACAGACCATTCTTGTGAAGCACATCAGTATTTTTGCTGAAATGAGAGATATCCTTTTCTTGTCCAAAGCTCCCTGTGTTTCTCCAGAGATACTGTCACGATGTAAGTCTGGGTTGGCAGTGAAAGAAGAAGTCCCGATCTTGTGTTTTGCCACATTCCCTCGCACCAGCATTCGTGCAGCCGTGGGATGAGTTGGATCAGGGAACTGATCTAGCTGGAAACTGCGACTGCTTTACGTGAATGCCAGAGCCAGCGTAAGGGAGGTGATGGAAATGTGTGTTGGGGGGACACAGGGCTTCCTTTCTTGGTACTGTGTGCCTTGACGTTGGCTCAAAGTGAGTATGTAATCCTGTCCTCCTTATCTAGAAGATGTCCTTGCTTTGTATCAGCTCCCTGAGGTGGTCTGCTGGTGTGTTTGCATGCCTTTGATGAAAATATTTTATGTGGCCTGCTTCTGTTAGCTGGGATGAAATTTCCAGCACTCCTCCATTCAAAACCCACTCAAGATTGCAGTAAATGTTAGTTAGTTCTTTAATCTCAAGGGAAAACGGTGAAGGTGGTAACTTTAGTGTGGCACTTGAAAATGGTGCAGTGGGTAAAGAACTTCCAGGGATTTATAACTGGTTCCTTTGTTCTGGGGTGTTGGAATTTGATGTCGGGCTGTTGCGTTGAATGGGGTATGGCTGAAGGGCCCTCGAGAAGGGAGTGTTTGAGCATGCAATAACCTGCTGCAGCAGACTTATTCAGCAAAGTAGAAATTGGGTCGTTTTAGTGAATATTTGATTAACAGACTCCTTCACCCTTTCTGAATCTTACTCTGAACCCAGTCTGAGGTCTGTTCTAACTTTTAACTGATATGTGGAGCAAAGCGAAGCGTTGCTACAATTCTGGTTTTAAGAAATTAGTCTCTCTAACCATGAGATGGAGCTGCTGATGGAATTCAGGGGCAGAAGGGTAGGAGCTGGGAGAGAGGCTGCTCTGCACAGTTTTGTATCACTGCTTTGGTGTGGCTAGTGTGGCTTACACTGTATCAATAGTTGTCTTTGTGTTGGGCCTTTCATTTTAGGATAGTATCTGTTTAAATACTACTCTTATCTAGCATGAACGACTTGGAAAATTAATCCTGCTTGAGCAGGAGATTGGACTAGATGACCTCCAGAAGTCCCTTCTGAGATAATTCCTTGATCAGGAATGTATTAGTGACTAAATACTAAGCAGCAGTGGTGGTTTGCCCATCCAAGGTATTGTAGGGGGCACTCCTGCATCAGCTGGGCAGTACCAACAGCAGACTTCTCGGAATTCCTGCAGATTTTCCTGTGCTTGAGGGTAATGAGCACTGAAACCTGACGACCTGGGGAGAGACACCTTCAGAAGCAGACTCGGGTGACGTGAATTCCCCGTGCCTGTGCGAAGTTCAGCCTCCTCTGAGCCTTTTTAAGGCCTCCTGGTGCGAGGCAACATCAGCTCTGGGCAGAGGAGAGGTGCCGGGTGTGCTGGGGCCGATGGCTGTTGTCGCTTTATAGCGGCTCTTCAACTTCAGCACCAACTCGGAGGGTTCATGTGGCAGCACCCAGCGTGACAGAGTGAGTGGTTTCTGTGCCCTTTGGAGTTGAGTTTAGTAATTAGCCGCTCCACAGAGTGGGAAATCGAGGGCGGAGGAGATCAGGGGCCCTGTTCGCAGCCTCGGAGGGAGCGAGTTGGGACTGGGTCTGGCTGAGGAGCGCCTGGGGACAGACCTGAGCTATTGGCTGTTTGTTTCTAGAAGGGAAGCTGGCATGTTATGATAGCTGGAGATGTGATTCCCTGCTCGTGAACCTCCTCGCACCCTTGAATGCTGTACTCCATGCCACAGATGCATTCTTCTCTTCCCTCCACCCTGAACCTTCCTGCTAATTGGAAGCATCCCCCTGTTTACTCAGTCCCTAACAGGATGCTTCATACCAAATAATCAATCATACGAAGTTTCTTAGCTTGTGACACATCTTAATGTGCTGAGGAATAATTCTTAGCAAAGAAGGGGGTGCTGAGTCATCTGGAAAAATAAACAGACCTTGGACACTTCACCCTGTTGATGCTTCTGCCAGTAGTTTTGTGACTTCAAACCTTCGTTGCTGCCACAGGGTAAAAACAAATGGTGACTCCTCCCAGGAGTGGGGAGTGAGTTTAGAGTTTAGGCAATGCTTTAGGGCTCTTGACGGGCAGCTTTGAGCATATCTAGCTATGCTGGTCGTGATGTTGCTGTCCCTCTGACAGCAGGCAAAGCGCACACCTGCCCTGCCACGAGCCTGCAGTCCTCTCGTATCGGTCTTACGTAGTGGTGACGATGAGCAGCCACCAAGGCCACCGTGCCTGCCAGGGGAATAGAGCTGGGCTCCCCCGCTACTAAAATGATCCAAGGGTTGGAGCACCTCTCCTATGAGGCCAGGCTGAGGGAGTTGGGGGTGTTCAGCCTGGAGAAGAGAAGGCTGCGGGCAGAGCTGAGTGCGGCCGGTCAGGGCTTCAAGGGGGCCCAGAGGAAAGGGGGGGACAAGCTTTTTAGTAGGGCCAGCTGTGACAGGACAAGGGGGGATGGTTTTAAACTGAAGCAGGGTAGGTTTAGAGTGGATCTAAGGAAGAAATTCTTTCCAATGAGGGTAGTGAAACCCTGGCAGGGGTTGCCCAGAGAGGTGGTGGAGGCCCCATCCCTGGGAACATTGCAGGCCAGGTTGGCCGGGGCTGTGAGCAACCTGATGTGGTTAGCGGTGTCCCTGCTCCTGCAGGGGGGTTGGGCTGGGTGGGGTCTAGGGGTCCCTTCCAACCCAAAACATTCTATGACTCTATGAAGCATCCATCAGAGACAACAGAGAGGCTGACTTGCTGCTGCTGCTTGGGGTCTTCTAGAGGGATGCAGGGCCTCGGTGCGATTCTGGAGGAAGTAGGAGCAATATTACCCACTGGGTTTGGGTTTCACACGGGGAAATGGTACACCCAAGCGCAGAATGTAATGCAGGCTGTCCTCCGTGCCAACGTGGGGTGTGGGCTTACAGCAAGGCAACATAGTTGGACTTGCTTAGACATCCTAGCAGCAGCAAGGCCCAGGTAATTGGACCTTGATTGCCAGCAGTACTGTAAATACCACAGGGTCTGGTTTGTGTTAGGGTCACACAGCTAGGTAAGGAGCTGTGGCAAAAACACAGCTGCCTTGGAATCGCATTGCAGAGAGGGGACAGTGCAGGCAAGCTCTGAAGGGAAGCTCTGAACTCATTTGGAGATCTTCTACTCCACAGAAAAGTGGCTTTGTTTAGCAAATGAAAGTAAGCTTTGTCTGTTGCTGATCTCTTCCAAACCTGCCTGTAAGACAGGCGAGACCGTTGGCCACGTAGCCTGTGCTTCGTTCAGGGAGCACTGCTACGGAATTGCTGTGGTGCACATCTCCAGGGCTTCTCATCCCGCTGTCAGGTAACGCTCTGTACAACAACTGCAAACCCTAAAAAAGTACATACATTTCCGAGTAAGCAAACACACCGAGGAAAAATAAAAACAATAAAGAGAGAGTGAAGATTTAGCCTGGGCTTTACTTGGTTGTAATAAGAATATCTATGGCAGTGTCTGTCAGAAGGCTCTGTGGGTATTTTTTTCTCTCTAGAGAAGTTAGGTCAGCTTTGTTTTTAAAATAAAAGTTAAGAAAATGGCCTTACAATGTACTGCTACGGTTTGGCCCGAAGCTCTTCAGAACTGGCAAAGGGAGATAAGTGGTCAATGTATTTTTAATGTTTACTTTAGAAAGGAGAGAAGCGGAGCGTGTGTTGGTTACACTGCCAAGGTCTAAGCAAGCAGTGTCACACAGCGGTAGTTGTAGTCAGGTGGAAAGTCTTAGCTTTACCTGAGCTGGCCTGAAAGAGGTCTGGCTCTAGGTCTGTGTTGTTTTTTCCCTTCGCTTGGATCTGCCAGCGTAGCTGCCTGGGTCACCGCTCCCTAACGCGTGTCTGGCAAAGTGACCCGGGTTCAGATACACCTTCGCGATGGCGCGTGCAAGCCGGTCCCCATCAGTCTGACCGAGTGGGGTTAGGGAACCACTATAGGTGTAGTCAGGGAACAGGGTGTGGTAAACCCAGTTAGAGGTTAACCTCGTAACCCGGCTCTGCTGCTGTCGGGGTGGTGGTTTGGTTTGGGTTGAGCGTGCGCCATAGATTTACAGGGAACTGTTTCATCTGGGCAGCCTTAACGGGGCGAGATTGGCAGAGGTGCGACTCTGGTCTCTAAACACGGGCTGCTGAACATCTTGTATGTGCTAAGAGGGAGCATGCCCTCACCCGTGGAGCTTTGTTGTGTTTCTTGTCTTGCATATTGTTTCCTGAGGCTCTGATGCCAGTCTGCAGAGTATCTCTGGCTTTTTGCTTGGGTTTATAGGTAACATCAGTAGCTTTTACAAGTAACTGTGGTAGCTTTTACTGGTCACTGCCGCCTCTAAATTGGTTTGCATCCAAAATTCTCAAACCCGCTTGTTATTACGTGGTTCACAGTGCACACAGAAGGGCCCTTACCTCTGTGCACAGGGAACTGCAGTGCAGCCATACTGAATCCAGCTTTGTAGTATACACATCTGAATTAGACTGTCTGCTGAATTCAGGCAGGGGTTGTTGATTTGCTTTGTATCGTGCTGCGGATGCTGTTAGCTGTGGATTGCAGCGTCTGAAGAGGTGCTGAGACTCTAGTGTGTGATTCACATAAGGAAAATGAAGTGAAACAAATTTTGTCCAATTTCCAGAGTTCATAATTCTCTTCTTTCTTACGCAGGGCGGGTTACCAGAATCCAAATGGCTCTCTTGAATCAGCAATTGGGTTTATCCTTAACCCATCTAAGCAGCACAGTGATCCAGCGACACTTAAGGTAATTTTCAAATCCTGCTTTTGCTTTTGTTTTCTTGGGAGAATTTCCTGATTGAAAGAGATGCTGTTAAGCAGGTCAAGCATAAGGTACAGTATTTCTAATTCAAAAAGGATAATATAAGAAAATCTCATAGTTGTCTCTTCACAGGTTGTAAAGTGAGCCCAAACACAACAACAGATGCAGGTTCCCGGCAGTCTGAGTGTGGTCTGAACTCAGCATTTTCGTATGCTTGTAAGGAAGCTTTTAGGCCTGCAAGCAGAAGTTGAAAGTGCCTCTGTTTCTCAGCCAGGTCCAAAAAAGCAACAGCCAGCCCCTGCTGATGTAAAGCCAGTTACATGTTTAAAATTATTCCAGAGTTTGTAATTTCAGTTATTTGGAACAAGAGTAAACTGAAAAATTATTGCCTTGTACCTTAACAGTGTGCATTTTGTTGTTTTTCTTTATGTCCTTGTTCCAGACTCAAGGCATTTAAAGCTTCTTAAATTTATGGACCTCATGTTTTACAATGCCTTGCACAAAGCTTAGGGCCTAATCCCACAGTACACTTGGGGTGGGTATGGAGAATCTCTAGCATATAGCTTGTTGAAGGGTCAGGGCTTCACTTTATAGGGTGAGAATAGTCATTCCCATGACTGTGGTCTAGAGAGGGGATTAAGACAATGCTCAGGGCTAGGCTGTGTGATAGTCCCAGGAGCTATCTTGAGGAGGTATCTTAAATCTTACTGGCTTTCTGTGTAAATGGGCTGCATGAGAACATTGGCCAGGAGACATTTAAAGGATATATATAGGCTGACAGCAAGGGGAAGGCCAAGTTCACAGGGGTGAGCAGTGCTACTGCAGGACATCAAGCAGTCTGAATGGGGAAACCTTTCCAATGTGGTGGGGGTTTGCTCCAAGACTGTGGTAGAAATGAAGGAAGGAGGGGAAAGAAAAAGTCCTCCTTGTGCAGTTACTCTTCTCTAGTGGTACCTGGGCAACCTTAGAGTTGCTCGTACTGCTGCGTTGTGGACTTGGTCTCACCTAGATTTACCCTTCTCCTTCCTGTGACAATGCTCTTGTCCCTTTCTGGCCCCCTCCCTTCTGCCTTCCCTGCTGCGCAGCCACAGCCTGGCAAGGGGAGGATAGAGTGTGGTATACGACAGTCTCTGTCAGTGTTGGGATGGGAGGGGGTGGCTGCTTCCAGAGGCGAGTGACCTCTCAGAGAGGAGAGGTGGCCTCTCGTAAGGGAAAGCTGGGATAGGCCTCTGCTGCGGGAAACAAATCTTTAAAGGCAGCACTAGACCTCTGGAGCAGTTAGACTAATGCAGGCTGACCTAGCTGCCCTGCTCTTTCTGCGTGTAAAAATGCCTGCTTCAGCTGATGTCTGTCCACACTGTGTTTGATACGCAGGGGATGGCTTGCTCTTCTTCCAGGCAGCATTGCAAATACAGGTCCTTCATCTTCAGGAAGGGGTGGTGGTCCCCATGGGTCTTTATTTACTGCCGTTGAGTCCTTGGGCGGCCACCAGCTTGGCATGCCTGCAGCTGCCTGGCTAGCATGTTTCTTGTACCTTACTGAAAAGTTCAGCAGTAGAAAGGATCTTCCTGCTTTTCAGATGGTCTGCGTTTGGGCGTCCTTTGAAGAGAAGCAACGAATCACTTGAATTTGAGCTTACTGGATAAAAGAATAGCTG